CATACCCACACACCCACAGCCCCCCACAAACCTATACCTACCCCCGCAACATACAAGAGTAAGACTTCATTTTAAGCTACTGTGTAATCACCTCTATGTACACTGCACAAATGTATGTAAATCAGGACAAAAATATTTTTAAAAATCAAATTAATGAATACTGTAGATACTTTCTTTTAAAATATAATTTGGTATTTTTCTGGTTCCGAGATGGCAAAACCCCTTGCTGAAAGTACTTCTGGGGGCAAGGGGAGGGGCTTCTGGTGGCAAAGTTCAGGGGTTAGGGGGCAGGACTTCAGGCCACAACATGGCAACAAGGATGCAGGGCACTTGTCAAGGGGCAGGGCTACCCATGCGGCCCTCGACAGCTTGCCTAAACCCGGTAAGCAGCCCTCCACCCGAAACTACTGTCCGCCACAATCTAACATATTACTGAGCAACAATTACATTCATCCACACATGGTACCAAGTGCCATGGAATGCATGAAACATAAAAAGTAAAACAAGCAATCTTTTTCTAGTACCTCTGCCACTCTATGCCAAAAACAGGGCCAAGTACAGATAGTCAAGAAGCCCGAGGCTGAATTTATTCAATCTTTGCAGGTTAGTCTAAACTGCACAGATTAAACCAATAAGTCAGTCACCAGGCATTCACTTTCGATTCCAAAAAGGCAGCCACATGTTTGCAGTGGCCCAGGCCAGAAGCTGGGGGGCAGTAGAACATGTCTCCCTGCTCTGCTGGATCTGATGGCTTGAACCCGTGAGGGAGTGGGGTTGTTGGGAAGGTGCAAAGCATCCTGGGATGCTGAGGGACTGAGTTAACTTGAATCTGGAGGGGATCTGGGACAGAAGTTCAATACACCGATTTAACCTAAATCAGTAAAGGCTGATAATATATCCATCCAGGTTTATCTTAAATCAGTTTTGACCATTTGTGCACTGAACTTTTTGTGATACAGATTTGAACTGGTTTCTAATCACTTATATTGGTTTATGTGTAATTTTTGTCCCTAGCTTAGCTGGTAAACTGGTAAATAGCCAATCCCCAAAATTCTGAGGTTTACAGGAAGAGACTGGATAAGCACTGGCTGAGGAAGATCCAGGAATAGCACTTTAGTATTGATGAAAGGTGCTGGTCAGATGACCTTGGAGGTCCTAAGTTTCCTACAATTCCAAGAGCATCTCTCAGGGGAGAAAAGAAAAGACCTGTAATTAAACAAAGCATAGTGTTTATTAAACGGGTACCTGGATAACTGAATTCAAGATGGTACTCAATAAAATTAATTTGGACACCAGTAGGGATCCCATCTGTGTTACTGAAGCCTATATACTGTACATGTGGAAAACATGAGCACTGTGCTAGATTAAAAGCTCGAAAAGGTAACCAGAAAATGCAACCACTAAACCCATTTTTAAAATGTAAAATACTTCTATTTGTCTTCAAGATAAATTATAAGGGAGCAGCTTCTGAGCAGAGAAATGGAGGTGCCAACATGCCAACAAGATATAGGCAGCAACTTTTCTCTTGTTTTCAGGTGTCGGGATATCACAGGATATAGATGTGGGGGCCTGAGTCCTGATGACATCCACTTGCCTTGCTTGTACCAGGGCAGGCATCAGTCAGCAAAAGTTGATCAGACTTCTTCTCCAACATCTCGCCTGCCACAACTTTGATGATTTGATTAAATTTGGGAGGATGGTGGTTTCCCTGACCCAAAGCCGACTGTTGCTTGTTCAGGTGGAAGGTGCAGCCAGATAAAAAAAAGAAAAAGAAAAATAAAGAAAACTCAAAAATCTTGACAGCACCTTCTCTCTCTCTCTGCCCACAGTTCGGGATCTCTGGGGCTTTTCTTCTTCCCCATTTACCTTCTGGGGAACTCGATCATGACTCCAGTGCTCAAGTGTTTTTTTTTCCCTTCCGCTCTCTGCTAATTGCTATCCCACCAGATTAGCTGAGCACCAGCAGCAATCAATTAACACAGAGTCAGGGCTTCCCCCCCACTCTTCCCCCCCCCCGAGCTCCTCCAAGCTCTGAAGACCCAATAGGTCTGTTGCCCCGTTCCCAGGGACTTCAGTCCTGGCCGGCAGGCAAGGGTTTCCCATTAAGCGGACCCCTCTTCCTCTCCTTTACTTCTTTTCCTCTTGCCAGTGCCCGGGGCCAGAAATGGCTCCCAGTGGCGTAATTAAACCAATTTGGTTCGCCCAGCAGGCTAAGGTTCTGCTGGAGCAGATTGGGAGATCCCTCTGGAGCACAGCCAGGCTGCAACAGCCAGACAGATCTCTTCAGTTGGGGCCCTCCTTGAAGCAGGTATCCCCGACTTTTCCACACCAGGGTTAGGGAAAGAAGGAAAACGAGAGGCCTTTTGTGTCCATATTTATTTGGAGGGCTAATTGAGATGCTCAGTATTATACATGATTATATTATTATTATTATGCATGGAATGCAAGCAAGGCATTACGAGTTATTAACAATATAGGGAAAAAATAAAGCTTTTTTTTAAAAGCTTGCTTTGACTTTGTTTTCCAAGCTAATTTACATAGTATTAAACAATGGTTCATAAACATTTAATAATCTGTAAACCAGCTGCTAGAAACTAAGATAGTACAAACATGAAATCGGAAAGAAAACAAAAGCAGAAAATAAAATCCAGAAGCACAATGCCACATGCAATGGAATTATATACTATTCACTTTCTGATTTTTATTCCTAAAAAAGGTACATATGGTGGTATACTGGCATATGTGTCCTTTCATTCATGAAGTACATGTACCGTTCATCCTGTGCCCAGTAGTGTCTACTAGCTACAAGACAGTTATAGAAAGCAACTGGAGTAGTGCTGGACCACAATGGGGAAGTGCTACTTTAGAGTCATGCCCAGCCTCTTGTTCAAAACAGTTCCTTCTGCTTCAGGAATTCTTCCTCTTGTACCTAGCAGGCCTGCTCCTTCATGGCACAGGTCCCAGGTTATTTATTCTGTTAACAAACTACGCTCCCTTGTGATCATCACCTAAATCTAAGTAAGTAAATAAAATAAAGCATATATTTCTGCCTGCTGTTTTCTCCAAGTTGACAATGGCCCACTTCTGTGTCAGAGCCCTGGGTTGCCAAGGAAGAAAAATAGCACAAAGACATTTCTCTATTAGTGTGAGGCTTCTCCCCTTGAATTATAGCAAAAGAAAAGTTGCCTACTATATCTTGTTGGTATGCAGTTACCTCCATTTCTCTGCTCAGAAGATGCTACATTCTCATTTCTCTTGAAGGCAAATGGCTTTAAAAATGGCTTTAGTGGAATTAGGAAACAGGTCAGGGTCCTATTAGTGATACTCGTAACATTATTTCTGATATTTGGGGCATTGGAAGATGTTAACTTTCTGTAAAGTATGGAATGAAAGAGTACATGCCTGTTCTGGGCCTCTGCTAGAAAGTCACCCACCTCTGTCCAGGAAGGGTCTGTGGGTTTTTTTTTCCAGAGTTTCTGTTTTAAATTGTCATTGTTCTTTACTCCTGTGTTCTCAAAGCATATACACAAAAAACTAAAAGCACAGTCAAATCATTGAGAAGAGAGCATTGGTGCTCCAAAAAGCACACAGCTTCTGTGATTTAAGAAGTCTGCTAAACATTCCCAAAGGAGTTGGAAAATGCATGGATGTATTTTCAAGTGCACATCCTCATCTGTTCTCAGTTGAGCTGATCTTCATACTGTTTTCGGAAGCAATCGCCAGCAGGGAAAAACTCCCAGCACCGTTCTTGATACATTTTCCATACATAGGATTCCTGCAAGAACCAGAGATTTAAATAATTAATCTCATTCAATGAGAGCGCATTAGGCATGTTTCAGCTTTTAAAGGAATCTAATATGCTGCTCCACTGTTCTGATTCAATTCTTATTGATTTGCTGTGTATCAACCTGCAAGTGGTAAAGTACACTAATAACTTCATCCATCTTGGATGACACTTTTACGTTTCTATCTCCTGACTGAAATATATAAATATGTGAAAATATATGCTAATGAGTAGTTAAAAGGGATTCCTGAAACAGCTCAGAGAAATCATCAATAAAGACTAAAATATTTGCTTGCTATTTCATGTCTAAGAACACCTTAAATCTCCATTTTAGCTGGATGCAACACATCATAATTAAAGACTAGCTTTTTCATGGTCTTTGAAGGAATATTAGGTAAATTTCTGTATCATCCTTTTCAAAACATGTCTATGTGATATTAAGAAAAAAAATAATGTAAGTTTTTGGTATAACCCACAGATGAGAGTAGTTTTCTTAAGAAGGCTTTTCATCTTGGTAGTTTTGTTCATTTGTTCAGATTATGGCACAATGAGAACATATCAGATTGTTGCCTACTTAGTAGCAATGTTTCACGTAAGTTTTTAAACCTGTAAGTTGCATCCAGGTCCCATACTAAAGTGTGCTTAAAAATTTGTGATTAATTAAACATAGAGTGTGATGTATATAGAAAAAGACATATTCATCCCAATTCAAGAGTTATCAACTACTCTCAGATAGATTTTTCAGGTGTAAGTAGATTTACCATCTCATGACTCTGGGGGATGCAGATCAATGTAGTTTTGTCATTTTCAGTTCATTCATTAAATAGTTCAGGAAAAAAAAATCTCCTTCTGAGAAGCTTTGAAGAAGTTAAGGCAAGCTTTGTAAACAACTCCCTTGCCTGTTCACATGCAGCAGAATAAATAATGGGCAGAGGGTGACTGGGGTGTCAGCCCCAGTAGCCAGCACGCAGCTGGCTGAGCCACCACTTCTGGCAGCATCTGATGTCCTGTCTGGCATTGCTGCCAAGGGGCAGAACTGCCCAGTTACATGTCTGTTCAAAACACTACACGTTGTTTCTTTAGATTTATATTAGGACAGTGGTTAGCGGAGTGGGCCTGTTGGTCAGATCTAGTCTGTGAGCCTGATCTGGCATGCCTGGGATCAGCCTTAGTGCCATATACCTAATCATGGGCATGGCCAAAAGCATAGGAAGCATAGGGATTGCTAGTCCTCAGTTATCAAGACATCTGGCTTTTTTAGGTACAATTTTGTGAAATTTAGGAAATTTTAGTTTTCTCTCCTTTTCTTACATGTATGCCACCTCCCTGGTTTTCAGGTGTAGTTGGACTATACACAGTTAATGGACATACTATTGTAAGTTATGTAGCTAAATGAGAAAGTTCCCCTGCCTTTGTTAAGTATGTGAATACTCAAGCAATTCAATGTTGGATTTGTAAATGTTTATGTAATGCTGGTAAGCACAAAGTGATGTATGTGGAAAAATAACCCGATGAGCTTACATGACAATGACTCTATATTCACTGTTATTACTCAAGAAATAGATCTTGGAATTATTGTGGCTAGCTCTGTCAAAATGTCAGCACAGCAGCTGACTGTTTGGGGTACAATTTATATGCTTAAATTCAAATTCAAGATTGTTGTCCTCATTTAGGGGGCTATCTTTACCATAACTGCCTCTAATTCTTATAAACCTGCCTCTAATAGATAATACCAACTTTCATTATTGATTATAGTTACATAGAAAGACACAAAACTTTAAAAAAAATGGAAAGCGCTGACTTAACTGTGATGTGAATATTATATTAATTTCACATAACAGTGAATGCACAAAAATGAATGAAGGAGGTGGGAAAGAGAGACATCAGAAAATCAAATGACTTGATTTAATGTTTTAATGGAATGCGCATATATAGTACAGCTGTGTGAAGCTTTGGGTGGTGATTTGATTCAGAGGAGGTTTGGCCCGATTCAGTGGCCGAAGTTCTGAATCTGAATTGAATCAAGGGACCAATTAAAAGGTCCGAGTCAATTCAAAGCTCTCCAAATCTTCAGAAAAGATTCGGAAAGCTTCAGTGATTTGAACTGTCCCCACCCACTGCAGCAGGGAGGTGGAGCCTGACTCGGACTGGTAAGTAGGGGGTGGGGAAGACGGGCTGGAGGAGGGGGGAGGGGACCATGGGGGACCCCTACTAGGCCCCATCCCCTCCATACTCCCCCAGCCCCCCTGACCCCCACCT